CCGGGGCCCGCGGCCCCCCCCACCCACCCCCCGCCCCACCCGTGCGGACGCGCCGGTGTTCGCAGCGCGCTGGTCACTTCCTTCCTCGGCCGGGATGGGCGGCGCGGGACTGAGTGATCGGCATCGCGTCGGGCGGGTAATCCCCATCTGATCTGCTGCCTGTGAGCTGCCGACTGCCGGGGCGCGCGAGCCTGGGGGGCCCGGGCAGCGCGGCGATGACCTGATCCGGAGCCCGCCAGGGCGCCCCCTCCTTCCCTCCCTCCCTCTCTCCCTCCGAGCCTGCGGAGACCGGCTCGGTGCGGCGGCCCCGGGCGGACCATGGCAGGGAGCTCCAGTTAAAGGCGTGTGGGCGCCGAGCTGGAGAGGACACCTTCGGCATCGCTGCCTTTTGAGGGGGCTTATTTAAACTACTGAGTCATTCCAGATTTAGGCTTCCCTAAATAATCACCAACTGTGCCCGTCTCGTGCCGGAAAGCAAGCTGGTAGAGAAGGAGCGCCCGCTCTCGGGACCCCGCGGATCGCCTCTCTGGGTTTCTCCCCGAGGGGTGCTTGGCCCTCGAGGATCTCCCTCCCTTCCGCCCTCCCTCCCCTTCCCTCGCCTCCCGCTCTCTTCGCAGTGTTGCTGGCCGGGAGTCGCGCTCATCGCAGCTGGGAACAGCTGCCCCCGCCCCGCGACCCTACCCAGATTCTGGGCACGTTCCCACTTGGCGCCTGTCGGAAGTCGGGCGGGCGGCCCCTGGAGAACCGCAGCCGGCGCGATGCCTCCCGTAGACCTCACCCAGCCGGGACGGACCTCCTAATCTCCAGAACTGCGGGCCGCAGGGAGTTAAATTGCTGCCTTCCTCTCCTCTCTGGCGGTTGGTGGCTCATTTTCTAAAGGAACGTTTTATTCACTTTTTAGTATTTTCTACCGGGGACACGCTACCCGCCTCGGTGCAGACTCAGCTTTGTAAACGGGTTTTCTATGTATGTATGTGTAGCTATACTTCGGACACCTTACAACGCTTGCGCCTCTCCCAGTGGGGCACGGCTGGTTGTTTTGGACATCCTTCTTCCCCTTCCACTTGGTACCCTGAACGCAGTGTGACCAAACTCTCTCCTGCCCCTTGGACGCCGATCGCCTTGGGGTGCAAGTTTGGGGTGCAAACGTCTACTTCGCTGGAAGGCCTGGGACCGCCCCGCCCCCGCCGCCAGCGGTTGGGGAAGTTTACATCTGGATTTTCACACATTTTGTCGCCACTGCCCAGACTCTGACTAACCTTGCGGGCGCCGGGTTTTCGGTACTGCAGCCTACTCAAGTATTAGCACTGCCTCCCCGCGCCGGCCCTGTCCCTCCAGGCCGCCGAGGTCCTGCCCTCGCCCGGCGGAGCGCCATCCCGAGGGCGCAGTGGAGCCTGGGGCCTGGGGCCCGCGCTGAGCAGCTATGGCTGCGGCGATAGCCAGCTCCTTGATCCGGCAGAAGCGGCAGGCGAGGGAGTCCAACAGCGACCGGGTGTCGGCCTCCAAGCGCCGCTCCAGCCCCAGCAAAGACGGGCGCTCCTTGTGTGAGAGGCACGTCCTCGGGGTGTTCAGCAAAGTGCGCTTCTGCAGCGGCCGCAAGAGGCCGGTGAGGAGGAGACCAGGTCAGTAGAAGCTGAGTGGGCTCCCTGATGAAGACCGACGCCCCCTTCCCTTCCTCAGAGCATCTGGGGACGCCGGTGGAAGGGAGCTAGGATCCTCTCTTACATGCTGGCCGCTAATTTCCAGACCTCTCTTTCAACCATGCTCTGTCAATGAAAAGCTTGTTGTCCCATATTCAGGAAAACACTTTCTAGTTGGATCAATTCCGGTTTGACTAGGACGAGCGTTCTACGTACAGATGCACATCGTCCCGAATGCCTGTAGAGTTGTTGAGGGCAGTGAGAGCCTCATCCATTCATTCGTTCGTTCTTTCATTTTCTTTCTCCCTCCTCCTTTCTCTGACTCTCTCCCATCCATTCATTCATCTTTGGAGTACTTAAACTGACCATAGAGGACCTATAGATAGAGTGCTTCCTTATCTCTCATAGTAACACATGATGGACACTTAGAACTGACAACGGATGAACTTGAATTTATTTGTAACTTCCTCCAGCAACACATGGTATTACAGCTTTCAGACATCCAGATTTCTCACCTCTCCATTTTCCCATATACCCTTTTCCCTTCCTTCCTTTTACATTGTCCTCCTTTTCTTCTCTTCTTCCAACCAGTGTCATCTGACAACGGATGAACTTGAATTTATTTGTAACTTCCTCCAGCAACACATGGTATTACAGCTTTCAGACATCCAGATTTCTCACCTCTCCATTTTCCCATATACCCTTTTCCCTTCCTTTTACATTGTTCTCCTTTTCTTCTCTTCTTCCAATCAGTGTCATGGTTTGCACGGGCTTTGCTCATTAAATTTGCCGTTGGGTTACCATCCGCTACACTGACACTTGTGGGACGTTAAGAGAACAAGATGGTATATGCAGTTTGGTCTCATGGAGTGTAAAGACAACTTGAGATTTAGCAGAGATTTTCATTGTTTAACGTTCCTAAAGTTGGTTTTCTTTCTATCTCTGCACTTAAATGATTGCTCTTTGATATTTCCCTCTATGCGTTGGGAAATTTGGATATCTTGAGTTTCAGTATGATGAACCCAGCTAAAGCCAAGCCAGTGTCCCAGCTTGGGGGAAGAAAGCAGAATTGCTAAGAGAATTGTGCTCCCATCAGACTATTGGTCCTCTGGGTGTGGTTGCAGGATCATTGGCAATCTGCGGACACTCATTCTCCCCTGACCTCTGACAATGGAAAGGAAAAACCGTCTAGAAAGGGAACATGCTTGTGATCCGTTGACTAGTTTGCCTCTTTGTAGCTCTGACTATGGTGTTCTCTTGGTTTCCAGGAATGAGGCGCATGGGCCAGGTTCATTGCTCTAAGGAAAACACATGGGAAGTCTGGGCAAGTGGGCCCAGGGTTCGTTCAGAAATGTGGGAAGCTATCCTGTTGCACTGTCCGTTGGGTTTTTATGACATTATCCAGTCTGTAGTAGGTGTATTTTGTAGTTCTGCGATAAAGCAGCAAATTTCAGGAGTAAATAAAAATAACTATGGGAGCTACTAAAGCCAGTCCAATTAATATAGCCTGTTCATTTTATTAAGTGGAAGTTTATGCAAAAATTAGAGTCTGCGTGGTAAATAATTCATGTTAGAGGAAAATAAAACCCCTTGATTTGTTGGTGTAAGGGTCATTTGGATATCTACAAGGACCTTCAAGACTCTGAACTCAACGTGACTCTTAAATCTCAATCTCTGAAGTATGTTCATGCACTGTAATTCAAATAATTACAGATGTTTGAGAGATGATCTCACTCAGCCTCCTCAGCAAACTGGTAATAAGAATGATCAGTGGATTACATTTATGAATGGGTAAGAAAACCTCACCTGATCATTGTTGAAGTTGGCCTGGAGATAAGCAATGGCTTAATTTTGCATGACTTCATTTGCATGGTTTAATTTGCATGGGAAGGAAGTATTATATTCATAGTTTCCTGTGGTCTTGGCATCTCATCAGAACAGAGAGAACTTGAGAGAATGTATTAATTTATTGTTTTCTTCAGTGCTCATTTAATCTGCTCCTCTTTTTCATTTAATTAGTGGTCATCTTGGCAGGGAGGAGGATCCTGACTGGTGACTCCCTTTAGCTAGTGTCACATTAACAATCTGGCAGTGAGATGGCAGGACCTTTTAAGACATTCCCAGTGCAAATGCAACATGCATGTATTTGTACACAGTGGACTACAGACTGTTCTGAAGCTTAGCTTTGAAGAATGGGAATGTGAGGTGTGGAAAAGCTTTTAGGGAAGATGTTAGTGTGCTGTTATCTTTACTAGCAAAGCCAAATAATTAATCTGTTGATTTGCTGTCAGCAATCATGATTCACATAGCATGGGATGAGCCTATTTATAGAAAGATAGCACGTTCCACATCATAACTCCACAGAGGATTCTTTAGCTAGATTGGGAAGAAGTTGCTAAACACCAAAAAGAAAAACTATTTGAGGGAATCTGTTTTATAAGCACTTTGATTATACTCCCTTACTATTTTAGTTATTCTTGAAACCACTAAGCCTTTCTAGCCAAGTCTTTGTGAACTCCACACTGAGTCAGAAATGGCAAGGTAGTGAAATGCAATAACTTATCTGGATAAAAATTTCAGCCTTGTATTTCTGCTATTGAGAAACATGTTCCATTGACCAGACTTTTAGAGGAGTGAGGCTGAGGCAGTGAAGCTAAGCCAAGTACTCAATGAGAAAGGCCACGGTTGTCTTTCAGGTTTCAGGGCTGACATACTGAGTGTTTCTCAGTTTCTTTTCTAAGCTCACCATGTTCAGATATGTATCCTACTGAAACTTTATAAATAGAGTGGGGATCCTGAAAATATTATGATAAGGGGCTTACATGTTAAAACCACAGTAACAGAATGATAATGAAAACTGTCAGGGCGAGACCTCACCCTACGGTTCATAGGCCTGATGCTCTTCAGATGCGGCGTGAATGTCATCCTTGCAGTGCAGTGTGGGGCTCATCCTGGCATTGGGCAGCAAAGTCTTTGCCTGTGTAGATGAGAAATTCCAGAACTCTGGCAGTTTGTAGTATATGGTATATGTAAGGTAACAGAGCTAGACAAAATTGGAACTAGAACTAGTTTCAGGTGTTTTTTTTTTTTTTTTTTTTTTTTTTTGTCTCCCCTCTTTGCAACACAATACAGAAAAAATAAATAGTGTAAGGAAGAATTGGGTGTCTTCTATCAAAGGATAGGAATGAATTTCTTCTTCCTTTTTTTCATATTTGTTTTCTTGTGTGTGTGTTTTACCACTAGGGATAGGTATTATATTGTCACATCATGATTATTTTATAATTAAGATAGAACAGAGGAAGTAATCTGTAGAAGATGACAAATGATTAAGAAAGGCTATAGAAGGTCTGACTCTACTACCCCATAGTTAACATGCATTATTGAAATAAGTCCAACAGTGAAGACCTGTAGATGCACAGAAATAGTTAACCCCTTAGGCGTAGTGTGGGCTACAGCTCTTCGGAAATGAAATGTTGGAGACCCTTGCCTGGCAAGTTGGTTGAGGTTACTAAACTATGAAAAACTATGTAGAACATTTCTGTTTATGCACTTTCTAATAAAGACAGGAACATTCTTCTGGTCATTGTTTGAGTCGTTATTTCTGCATGAAATACCAGTAAGAACGAGGCCTCCTGGATTATTTGTTTAAATGTTGATGCCACTTCATTCACTGTATCTGGGTTATTGGTACCATCCTACAAATTACATGGCTTATTTATTTCCATCACTTGCTTTATTTTTAATAGGAACACCTGTACAAATGATTGACTCCAAAATGATGTATGTTTTGACCTAGAACTTAACTGCAGGTAGTGGTCACCATTCATGACTGAGAAGGAAAAGGCAATTGTAGAATCTCCAGTGTGTGAGTGGCCATAGACTGTGGAGCTCATCAAGAAGCACCCTTTCATTTCTCAAGTGAGACTCTCTTTGGAAAGTGTAGAATAATAAGACAGACCTAAATTTATGTGTTTTAAATGATTTTGGAATTTTTAGATTTTTTTTTTTTTTGCATATAACTTAGTTCTTGCCCTTAAACTAGAACATTAAAGAAGAAATCAATCAGGAAAAATTCCTCACTTAAAAATTTTACATGCTTTATGATTTAAGTATTTGGTTTTATATACCCTTTTAGAAAAAAAAAAGAATGTAGTTGGGACCAGCAATTAGCGTAATGGCTATGTTGCTGTACTCCCATGTAGTTGACCGTGGTTCGATTCCCGAGCCCGGTAGCTTGCACTCATGCCAGGCATGTGTGCGTGTGTGCCCAAGATCCCGAGAGGAGAATGGAGGAGAACGGACTGCGGCATGGCCATCCTCCCTGGGCATGGCCATCCTCCCTGGGGGGGTGATTTCTTGCTTTCTGTCTCTCTGTCTCTCTCTGTCTTTCTGGCGAGTGCACGCGCCCTATAGCAAAAATAAATAAATAAATAAATAATAGAATGTAGTATAATTATAATAAATAGTCAAATAAATTAAAGAAGGGATTATTTTATTAAATGTTGTTGATTTTTTTCATTTGTCTTATTTTTCTGAGTCTTAGTTTCTGCTGTGATTATTCAAAGCATTTCAGTAGCCTTCCAAATTGTTATGGTTGGTAGATAGTATTTAATAGCATACTCATTCGAGTTTTTACTGTCAAAGATATTTGTTTAGATAGAGGAAGTAAACATTAGAGGAAATGGAAACATTAAGAAGAACGATAACAGCATAGGTGAAATAATGCTTAATCTTGTGATCTATGGAATATAACCTCGAATTTTATTTTGCGGAAAGTTTATTCATTTACTTATTTTGAGAGAGATTGAGGGAGACAGAGAGAGAGAGAGAGAGAAACAGGCACCCCTAACAGGGTCCTTTTGTCATAAGCCACCCCAGCCCTTAGCAGCCAGATCACAGGCACACCTATGAGAACCTGGTATGCCATGTGAACCCAGGATCTTCTCGTAAAGGTCTGGGTACACCACCATTGCACCACCACC